ACTAAATTATTCGTTCAATTTCTTAAAAAAATAAAAAATTAATTGAGTTACCAAAATAATAATGCTAGGATTACTTAGAATCTTTTTTACTAAATATGAATATTAACTCGATTTTGTCTCAAGTAATTTTGATGATTTGGTTTGATGGTTAAAAAAGAACATTTTATTTTTTGAATTAAAATTTTAGAGTTAGTATTGATGAAAATTTATTAAATTTTTCTAAATGTATTTTATATTATGAAATTATGAATATGTCTTTTTAAAATTTTCTCAAAACTTGTTGATATAACAATCACATAAGTTTTTGTATTTTAATTTTCCGTATCAAACAAACATTGAAATATATTTTTCAATAGTTTTTTCATATAATTATCAAACGATAAAAAATATGTTCTTGAAAAATAATTTTCTGAAAAATAGCTTACTCATGAATTAGTTTTCCTATAGAACTTGTTTATTTTCCAAACAAACATAGCCTTAGTGAGTGAGATTGATGAAAACTCTTTCTATCTAAGTTTCTTGGATAGAAATTTAACAATGTCCAAAGTTACGGGAGATCTATCATATTTGTGCTATTTTTTATTTGACCACAGTTGGTGTGTGTAAGGATTATTTATTACCTGTTTCTTTGATACTATGTAGTCATATGGGAAAATCAAACATTTTGGGAGTTGGTTCTTCAGAAATCGAAAAGATAGGACCCCTTAAGTCTTCACCATTCATTAAATTTTGTCCACATCATCTCCTTCGTAGGATGGATCATTATTCGCAGCTGGTCCATGTTGGAATGAGCCAGCCAACTAGGTTTTGGATTTTTGAAGTGATTCAAAATGAAAAATTTACGCCTCTTTGCATATATATATATATATATATATATATTGAGGTGGTGATATTCTTCTTTTTTTACAGAGGAAACAAATCCGGATCCTAACATTGGTGAAACAGTATTGTCTAGAGTTTGAGAAAGGTCTGTACCTTCTTTTATGCAAAAGATTCGTAGTGAATTCTCTAGGAATAGGTGGCTATTTTTTCCAATCGTTGAACATGGGATTATCCTGCAATATCCTTTCAGAAATATCTCAAAAGCTACTGAGATATATATTAAGCAAGAGGAATTTTAAGTAATAGTAGAACCAAACCCTCTTGCTGAAACCCCATTGAATGCATGTATAAATTTACCCATTTTCAACTTAACAACTTGGTTTCATATGGCATTTCATGCTAATGAACCTTGATGATATTATAGGTGGGGAAAGAGGGAAAGATTTGTCTGTTGTAGAAGAAAATGAGCCAGATCCGGTCAAAGATATAAGGATTAACTTAGACATTCCCACATTAGCAACATAGTAAGCTTCAATAACCAAAGCTTACTTCTCATGTGGCTAGAAAGAAGGAAACACAAGTGGCGCTACAAACACCATCTCAGACCTCGAGGATGTAAGTAAGAACTTTTACCTCTTGTTTTTTATTGCTAGTTGATATCTTCAATCCTTGATTTTTTTTTCTTGCAGTTTGACTTGGTAGCTCTCTTCATTATTGTAGAAAATCCTGAGTAGTTTAACATCCTTACTCCTAGTACATAGAAGACGTGACAACTAATCCTTTTGATGAAGAGACGAGATTGATTGAACAATCTATCGAAAGAGTTAGTGAGCTCTTAGGTGAAGGTCTCGAGGCATTGTTGAGCCATGCAAGGGTTGTTAACTTGAAAGAACAATGGGGAAGGCTTAATGGATGTAAAGATCTATTAAGCATCTAAAATCATTTGGAAAAGTTCTTGCTAGCTTGGAGTCTCAGCAATATCTACAAAATGGTTGTCATAACCCACTTTTGACTCCCCTAAATTTTTATTTTTATAGAAAATTAAAAAACAAATTGCATGTTTCATAGTTTCTTGATTTTTTCATAATTTTTAGGTATTTTTTTAATAAATTTTTAGGATTTTAGTTTCTTAGGATTATCTTCTAATTCTAATTAAATCAAGAAATTGAAAATCAAATTGAAAAATTTAGGCACAAATTAAAGATCATAAATATGTGAGGATCAATAATCAACCAAATCTCTATTTTCGACCAAACCAACTACCGCCACCACCAAAGAAATATCTCTCCCCTCTTAAAAGCCAATCCAACCTAAAATATCGAACAAATTTGACAATAATCAACTGAATCAAAGAGAAACTTGAATCATGACCCACTATGTAAACCTATTTCAATCTAAGTCATACCCATTTTTCTAGCCAAACCAATTTTTATTTTGGATTTTATGATATAGAATGACGGTTTGCTTTTCACTTATAATATTTTATGATTTTACAGTACTAGATGATAGTTTGCTTCTCACTTGTAATTTGAGTGGTGATCTATGATTATATAATTTCACGATGTCAAATGACAATTTACTTTCTATTTATGATTTGAGCGGTGATTTTATGATTTTACGATACCAAATGATGGTTTGCTTTCCACTTATGATTTAAGTAGTGGTTTTATGATTTTACGATTTCAAATGACGGTTGGCTTTTCACTTATGTTTTGAATTGTGAATTTATGATTTTACAATATCGAATGACAATTCGCTTCCCACTAATGATTTGAGTTGCAATTTTATATTTTGCAACATTAAACGATAGTTCATTTTCCACTTATAATTTGAGTGGTAATTTGATGAATTGATGATTTTTGTGATGTTGAATGACGGTTCACATTTTGGTTATAATTTGAGTAAAGATCTTATGATTTTATGATTTGCAAAATGATTGGTTATTAACTTGCTTTTCGATCTTGCTTATTTTTGAATGAGGATAAGACCTTGACCTAACAAATCTTAGATCACTCGATTGATTATCTTTTAATTTAATGAAAAACACACCCAAATAGTCATAGGCAATTTAGCATAATAAAAACTAGAAATGAATTTTTAAAATAGCATTCAATGTAGCCTACATCGGATAAGACATTGATTGGTGACTGTTATCTTCCTTTCATATAAACATCTCTTTACTTCTAATTTTTGAACAGACCAATCATTCAAATTTTCTAGTTAGCTTTAATGCTAGGTGATAAATTCTTCTTTTTTTTTTTTTTATCATCTTCCTATTTTATCTTGTCATCTCAATGTCTATCTACAACAAAAGACAAAAGGCAAGCATGATCAACTCATGAAAAACATCTCTCTTTTATCAAGAATTGATTCAGATGAAGATATTTAATCATGGTTTGATGAAGAAAAATAGCCTCTGAAAAAAAAAATCTTCTTTGTCATCTCTATAGAAGCAGAAATACAGATGATGTTTGTCTTGCCTGGTCCATATGAAACTAAGAATATTTTTATAGCCAGACGTGTTTCTTTTGCAAAAGTCCAGATTCTGACAAAGAAATATACTCAATCAATGAATGTGGTTGCCTTTTTTGATGCTAATACTGCTGCTTCTATTACCAATCCCAAAATTCTCCTATATTTTGTGGTGAGACACCTAGAGGGTGTTCAAGCAGGGATGACAATGGATTTGGTTTAAAATGAATTCTTATTTTATCCAATCTAATAAATACTTATTAAAAATATTCAATAGGTATTAAAGTGGGTAAGAATAAAAAAATACATATTCACTAATATAATTTTAGGACATGGATATTCATTTTTTATTCTATTAATACTCAGTTATTTATTTTGATTTTTTTACATATAGGGATTTAATTGTATAAATTTTAAAAATGAAGGATCAAAATTTTTTAAAAAAAACTTGAGGACAAAAAAAATTATAAAGAAACGACGAATATGTAAAAAAAAAATCAAATTTTAATGACCAAGGTATCAAATGCTGAGCCATTTGCCATCACAAAAATTTCAAAACGAGGGCTCATTTAGATATTCTTGGACATTCTACCAAGCACTTGTAATTTCTGATTTTCCTAGAAAATATCTTTTTATTGGATTTGATCTTATCATGAAATTTTGTGAAAATCAAATAGGGATACTGGGGATTGATCTACAACAACCATACTCTTTCGTGATACATATACCAAACCTCTTCTATATTGAGATCTTTGAATCTTTCACTCTGTGCATAATTCATACCTCTTGTATTGAATTCCATACAAAATTCCCTGTCAAATGCTCTCATCCGTTATGGATAGACCTTGACTTTTTATCACTATTACTTTCAAGGAGAATGAAGGCATCAATCCAACTAAAGCTACACACATGGGCATGAATCCAAACTTGCTTGCCCTTGTAGAAGCAAAGTTAGCTGAATTAAAAGCTCAAGGTGTTGTTGAACACACATCTTCTCAATGGGCTTGCCAAGCCTTTTATGTCAATAAAAGAGCCGTGCGAGTATGTGGAAACTTTCGACTTGTTATGCCCTTGAATATTTTTCTCTGGCAGATGTAAAGTTTCCATTTACAAGAAGGGAGGCTATGTTACAAAGACTTGTTAGAGACACTATCTTCTCAAATTTTGATTTGAAGGTTGGATTTTGGCAGTTAGGGATCCATCTAGCTTAAAGGTACAAAACAACTTTTTATTTATTTGTTTTGGTTAAATAATAAGGATGTCTTCGAATTAGATTTCATGAATTTCAAGAATAATTCCTCCTTAGACATGGTTAAGGGGCACTTCCCAATACACAACTTCGGATATTCTAGAAAAAATTCTTAGAAGTACTAGTCATAAGGATTGAATTTTGAATCTCGATTAATAAATCAACACTTATTTACCAACAAACTAACATCTTATAGTTAATGTTCTACATTTTCATTCATCATTATAAGTAAACAGTCATGGCGTTTGAACTAAAGAATGCTCATTCGGAATTTCAAAAGTCTATTACCATAAATTTTTAACCGATTTTCCATTCAGCTATTATCCACATTGATGATATTCTTCTGCTGCAGTCTTACTTGACCAATTCTAAATATGGTGTCATTTTATCTTAGAAAAAGATGCATGTTGGCAATCCTCCATTGATTTCCTAGGGATCACTTTATGTAATGGGCAAATCACTCTTCAACCTGACATTGCCTCATAGCTCAAAGACTTCCTAGATTTAAATTTATGTCCCAAAGAAGTTCAACAATTCTTATGAGTGGCCAATTATATGGCAGATTTTGTTTCTAAAATTGCCATTGCATAAATCCCTTATCTGCTTTGCTTCAAAAGGGTTCGCCTCCTTGGTCTCAATCTCACACAAAAGCTATCTAAAAACTCAAAGATCATGCCAAAAGACTTTCACCACTTCAGATTCCTTTGGATGAAAGACGCCTCTTATTGATTGATGTTTGTGACAATTATTGAGTTGTTCTTCTTGAAGAAAAGCCGCAAAAGAAATCTTTGTGGATAAAAGAATAGAGCTTTTAGACAATTATATTATCATTAGCACTCAACTCTCAAAGAAATCCTGATAGTTAACTGCAGCGTCGAAAATTTTGATTTCCACCTCCGTGGTCATCATTTCCTTGTTGAAATGGACATTTCCAGTTTTTCAAAAATGCGAGAAACCAAACAAAAGGTCATCCCTCACCCACAACTTATCTATTGAAAATAATGGTTTGATCAATACAAGTTTGATGTTATCCACATAGAAGGAAACACAACCTCCTCCCAGATGTCCTTTCCCGACCACCAAAAGTAAGTCTACAGATCCTCCTAATCTTTTGTCTCGAATTCAATCTCCATAATCCGAAACTTTGAAATTGATATCAAAGTCCTTGTCTTAAAAAATTTCTTACTCTTTCCATTTTCTCTCTATAATCCATCAATTTCATGCAATCATGGTTAGGACACGAGGCCATTTTGGTACATCATTTTCCCCATTAATCATTCATCTTGTCTATCCATTTTTAAATATCTTTTTCATAGATCATCTTTATGGATTTGATAATCTCGGATATTTCTTCTTTCTGCATCTAGCCTCCATATTGGTTATGTCTTGGAGAAAGCAAGACGTTTTGAGTTTCTTCTTCCATGTCAACTAGACCAGTATAATCGGCCCCCATATCTCCGTCTTTTTCTCTTATCTAAACGGTTAGAGAAATTTAATACTCTTCAAAATTGGCGATTGTCAATATTTCTAAAGCATCCAAAGATTATATCTTCATCACATTCAGAATTTCTTAGAACTTAATTTCTGAACTTGGACATGGAAGTTTCAATTCTCTGAGACTCCAACCTACGAACTCCAAACATCTTAAAATTACAAAATTTGTCAAAAAAAAAAAGTGATTTTTTGTAAATTTTTCTAGATTTTACATTTTGGTCTTCTAAATTATTACTTTATATAAAACATTACTTAATTTAATTAATATTATAAAAAGGTCCCTAGAATATTTTTTGCCGGATTGGGTTTTTTTTTTCATGAATTATTATTTAATCAAAATAATTTTTTCCCATGATTAATGGTTACTTTTTCTATTTTTAAAAATATTCAGTAACTAAAATTAAATATGCTTCTAATATAAATTGATTAAGCACCTCCTTCTAATTTGATTTTTTCCAAATAAATAATTAATTCCATGTATTTTTTATATATCAAAATTAAAAAAATTCCTAAGATATATTTAAATTCAATTATATATATATATATATTAAATTAAATAATTTTTTTACAATGAGTGTTAATAAATTTTTATTTTATGTTTATATTTTAAAATTATTTAAAATATTAAAATATAGATATAATAGATTTATCCGTAGCAACGTGCGGGTGTTGGGCTAGTAAATGCTAATATGCCATTAATAAACTATTCAGACCATGCCCTATTTTAAGTACCATTTTTGCAACCCAAACCTTCTTATATTAGTGCAGCCCAATATTTTCAACTCATTATGCCGAAAGGGAGATAATTACAGTATCAGTAAATTAATTTTAATTTTTTTCTCAATTAAATATATAAATTTTTTTCGTTCAAGTATACTAATTTTTTTCAAAATTATCAATCAAAGTACTTCCATTGATTTTTTTGTTAATTGATAATGTGTTAGCTATCCTTAAAATACTAAATTATAATTTTGTCATTTTTCTCAATAAAGTACATGAATTTTAATTTTCTCAAATTGAGGACATCAATTTTTTCAAACTACTAATCAAGTAGTTCAATAAAGTTTTTTCATTAATTGATAATGTATATGAATACCAAATTATATATTTTTCTCTTTTGTTGTAAGGAATTTTCTCCTTAAATTATTCTATCATTTTAAAATTTAACAAAAAATTAAAAAATATATATATTTAATTATAAAATCTCAAACTAAATTTAATAAGGCTTGTTGTTAAAAGAAAATCATTTAGTTTTTGAATGTGAAAGCTGAAAGAAACACAAATGTAAGATTTTTTATTGAAAAGATTTATTTGTGTTTTTCTTAAATTTTCACTTTTAAACCTAACTATTTTTTTTAAGCAACAACCTAACCAAGTTTAATTTAAAATTTTATAGATAAAGATGGTGTTTTTTAATTATATGTCAAATTCTAAAATAGTAAATTCATCTCGAGAAAAAGTTTTCTTCAACAAAAAAATAAAAATAAAATTATAATTTTGTGATTAATTAAAAAATTAATAAAAATAATTTACTGAAAGTTTTGAAAAAAAAAATGATATATTAAAAAAATTAAAATTTATATATTCAAATAAAAAAAAATGAATGTATTTATAATATAAGTATACGTGCAAACAAGTGTAGTCAATATCACCACGATTCACGATAATTCTATTCCATAAGAAGATAACTTCCACGAAGATTCTAGATATAGTTTAAAGAGCTTATCCTTCTAGGCATCGAAAGCACAAGGCTTAAAGATCATGGATATTTTTCTACTTGACAGCTGTGAGGAGGAGTCTTCTTTTGAAAACTTTTTACGCCCAATTTTATTTGTCATATTTGTTTTTTCTTAAAAAGTACTAAACTATTATAATATTATTATTGATCTCTAATAGCAATGATGTGAATATTCTAAGGACGTGATGATTTATGTTATCTTAGTATATACAATAACTTTTTATATCATCCTTTACCCCCATCTAATTTATTTACATCATCTAATTTTTACTCTTATTTTTATATCTCACATATATAGAGCTATTGTCTGAAACTTGATAAACCTTCTTAGATAACTCTCTATCGTTTCTACTCCTTTCTTTACTTTTTAGTCAAACTAGGTTTTTTACTTGTACTATATTGTTGGCTATATAAAATTATTTTAAAAAATTATTTCAGTTTAATAATCGGAGTTGTAATATGAATCTATAAAAATATATAAAATCAACGATAAAACAAATTATTTATAATTTTTTAATCAAAATTTTATATTTAATTATTTCTATATTTGTTTTTTTCATAATTTTTTTGTTAGAAAAATAATTTATTCTTATTAATTCATGGATTATAAAATAAAAAATTAAATAAAAATTTCAAAAAAACTTTAGTGTTTCATAAGATTATTTCGAAAAAATAAAGTAATAATTAATAAAAACTTACATAGAATTAAAAAAATAAAAAATATTTTTTTATTTTTATTTAATATTGATGAGAATATCAATTTTTGAAAGAATGTGAATTTAATTTTTATATATTTATTCATAAAAGAATGAATAATATTAAACCAAAAAAACTATATTAATTTGAGTCATTAAGTGGCTAAGCCAAAACATAATTTTAATTATTTAATTTAAAATATTAAAAAAATAAATAGTAAATGCCTAGTGTAGTAATAATTGCATAGTTAATTTCTAAAAAAACAATGATTCAATATTTTTCTATACATCATAACTATATTAAGTAGGTTAAGAGTTTTCAGGATAAAACAAAAAATACTATAAAAAAAACTAACTTGCAAGGAATATATTGAATAAATTTGAACTTAATAGGCTAAAATAAAAATTATTTCAAAACTAACTTCGATAAATTTTAATTGTATAAAGAATAAACAAATAAAACACATGAATTCTTTTTTTCCCTCCTTAAATAATTTTTATTTCTATGGTTAGTCCTTGAATATAGGCCTCATGTGTAGAGTAATCATCTCCTTTTTGTTTTCCAGATTTGACTTTCAATTATTAATTAACTAATTTGAGTTTTTTTCTAAAAAATCAAGAAAAAATTATTTGAAATACATTTTTAATTTAAAAATATATTTCAGAAAAATTATATATATTAATCATGCTACTATAATTTAAAAATTATATAAATCTATTTTTCAAAAGAAAATAATCATGTTCTAAAAATTTGTTTCAAAATCTATACATAAAGAAAAATAAATCAAAACTATCAGTAAATATAATTTTAAATTAATTGAATAAGAATTTTTAAAAAAATGATAAATTAAAGTAGTAAATTTAAATAATAAAAATAATTAACAAAAAATACTAAAATAAAATAGGACCAAATCACAACACAATTGAAGTTTGAAATGTAAAAAAATATATTAAAAAAATTAAGGATTAAAGTATTACAACAATATCATGAATAGTGAAAAAAATAATAATTTGTGAGTATATAAATAGTGTTATGAATAATAAAAATTTATTTTGTTTTAATGTTTTTTTATAATAACATTTTACGAGGAGGGCTAACAGAAGAAAAGAATAGTAGAGCAAAACAAGGAGGGCTCACCGATGAAGGAAAGTGCAAAGCGAAATAAAAAAAGGCAAAAGAAATGCAATTGTGCAAGAGCATTTAATTTAATGAGGAGGGCTGACCCATTCATGAAGGAAGTAGAAGACCAAAATCACACAAAAAGGAAATTGAAGGAAAAAAAAAAAAAGATATGCCCTCAAGAGCAAAGAGGAAAATAAATAAAGAAAAGGAATGGCAAAAGAGAAATTAAGGAGAACTAAGAGAAATAGAAATCAAGCAGCAAATACGCATGGACGAGTGAGGTGAAAAACGACTCTAAAATGAATAGGTGAGATGAAAAAAGACTCCAAACAGTAGACATGAGTCAACATGAATAAGGATTTTGTTTCTAAATGCACAATAAATGAACAGTATTAATTCCAATTCTTTTCGTTTCTTTGTAATGTATGCTAAGAGACTTGAGAAAAGCTTGTTTAAGATTAATATCATTTATGCTTCAAATGCCATAATACTGTTTAGAAATTTTAGTATAATGCTTTTCCAAATTGTTGATTTTGAAGGAGCAACACTTCATCTGAAAGTATTCTTATCAAAGTTGAGTTTGGTAGTCTATCCATTCACCAAGAAATTCTCTATAGAGGCCGCCAATGAAATCATCCACTAACATTTGCTTCATCATCATTTGGCAATACTCTCCAAGACTACCAATATTGGAAGTCACCCTTGTAATCTTGCCATAAACTTGGAGTAAACTTCAAATAGGAAGTCACCAATCTCAATCCATGTTGTAAATAATCAGGCATGGAACTCATAAAATCGATCCCTCCATTTTGCAATAAGAATGTCCAGAGCAAATCCTTTACCAGGATCCATTGACGTTATATGAGTCAGTAAGGGGCTTTTCAGTAAACATATCATCATAAGCTCCTTAGTTAGAAGGATGTTGCTCAACTGGTGGATTATGAACTCCAAAAGTACAGATTGGGCTCTAGCATGTGATGATTACGTACGGGTCAGCCATGAACACTTGCATTGAATCTGTGATGCTACAGGAGTCATCATACGTTTCTATTGAGAATGAATAAACACTTGTACTAGAGTTAGCAGGACCGAAGATCGAAACATTAAAATTGGAGGAGTAGAGTTAATTATCTAGGTCGTTTGACTAAGATATTCAGAGATGGGGTTGGAGAAGGTTTAGATTTCAAAAGGTGTTCCTTGGTTTGTATTCATGAGAGCCTTAAGTTTATGAGTGATTAAGCTCTGAATAGGTTTAGAAAATTTTGGTTTGTTCATGTCTTTCTGAAATTTTGAAGATTTGTTTTAAGGGAAAGAGGAGGTTGTATGAAATGGATGTAGGAAAGGTGATTGAGTGGATTTAGATGGAAATATTGGTTGAGGCAAAAGAGGAGTGATGTTTTTTTATTTACTGGGGCTGGTAAGTAGCGATCGTCATGGCTAGTTAATTTTTGGACGAACAATGAATTCCATTGAGTTTGGAGAATTTTTACTTCAACATTTTTGGCTGACATCAAAGGAGTATATGTAGCAGAAGTTACTACCATGTGCAGTATCTCAAAATGAAGTTGGAATCTTTTCAGAAATATGATAAATCATTTGATCTATCGAAGGCTAGGTTTTATGGAGTCGCTCTTCAATCTTCTCTGTTCCCTAAACAATGGCACTTATCATTTTGTTTTGAGCCAAAACATTCTTCGATTGCCAATTAACAACAGCATCTGACAAAGATTGGGATAACTTTTTGTGTGCCATCAGGATTTTGAGTGATGGAACTACTAACCTTCCATACCTATTTTGTTTTTTCTCTTTTAGAATGAGTTTTACGCATATTGAGATTTTATATAATTTTGATTTTTTTTATTGAAATCTTAAATTTTTTTCTATCCAATTTAAAAGTTCTACTCATATATTGTTGTTGTTTCAAACTCTAATCAATGACAACTTACTACGTGTGCGTTATAACCAATGACGACTTGCTACGTTACCAATTCAATCATTCAATTTTGGCCCACCATAACATATAGCAAACTGTCATTAGTTAGAACTTGATAGGTATGCTTACGTGGTATATTAAGGTCTAAAACAATAACAACATAAGAGTAGAACTTTTAAATTGGATTAAAAAAAAAAAAACTTAGGATCTCAATTAAAAAAAATAAATTATATGAAGTCTCCTTATGTGAAAACCCTTCTTAAAATCATTCTTTAAAGGAGGAAATTTTATACCATAATCGGGAGAGGTATCTTGAAACATAAAGCAAGGAAGAGGTTTTGGTGAAGGAGGTTGAGGTTTGAACAGTCTTGCAAAGAGTAGGAAAAATATAACAAGCTTTATTATTTTCATAGGATCGAAAACATAGTAGTCAAGTTTGCCAAATGGTTCTCCAAGCAAATCTACTTTTGGATCGCCGACTTCATACAACTCTTCTAAGAATTGTCGAGTCATTTTCTTCTTGTTTTTTATAGGATAGCCAAATTGATCATCTTCATAGTTTGAACCATATAATCTTTCATTATGATAGATGTCACATGAATGGACGATAGGATCATACCATATATGATCGTCGTCACCTCGTGGTTCATATACAAGGATTCTTGTAGCACTGAAAGGCCGGATAGTAATCTTTAAAGGTTAGCCTTCATCAATCATCATGGTTTCATTAACGAAATGGCCGAAGGAGAAGGTTTGGATGAATCTCCGAAGAGATGATGACAAATTCGTCATTTTGATCGATGAAAATGAGGTTTGAACTTTGAACTGGTTGAATTGTCCGGTAGTGTTTCTTATAATTAGTTACACAAGCATCTAGTAAAAGTTTTACCAATTCATCTTTTGAGTGTTGGGGTACGCAAGTGCATGTAGGGCTTTGGCCGGCTTCAATGGAGAGAAGTAGGGGGTCTTGAGTGGCTAGAGGATAAGTAAGATCAAAAGCATGATTTTTTTATTCGGTAAGAAAATTAGATATGCAAAGTTGCAGCATATGCATTACCAATCATAAGTGCCCCCGTGATCTAGACTTGAATATTAAGAGATCTAGAAAGATTGGGATATTTAAGAGTTATGTTAAAACTTAGGTAAAGATTGACATACAATGTTTCGCATTAAGTGTGATTTTATATTGTCGCTAGATAAACTTGTCAATACCTCGCAAATCTTTTATCGAAGATAACAATTCTAGATCCAACAAGGATACCTTTTCTACCATGAAAAGTGAGCAAGTTGTAATTCCTCAAAGAGATATGAGTCTAACCTTGAGCAATCCATAGTGGGATAAGCTCTTGTGGGAAGGAGAGGGTCGTAGGATGTTTTGTCTTTGTGGTGGAATTAAATGTTGATCAAACTTAAAAGTCCGGATAAATTCTTTTACATGGGAAGTTTTGGATTTGACAAGAGCCTTGAGAAGATGAAAAAAAAATGAATTTATGTGATTGCTTGTATAAAATATCCTATATAGATTTACTAACGAAAAATCTATACCATGAATTCTAGAAACCTTAAGAAGATGAAAAACTTTAGAAAGATAATCCAACCTAGATGCGTAACTAATCCTAAAAGAGGATGAAGATGAAATGGTGATTGCTATAGATTGGTCGAATTCATGACAGAGAGGAACGTTTATCATCGAAGTGAATTTTCTAATGGATAAACACCAAAATAATAATTTAAATACCTAATGTGTTTCAAGCTAATAAAGTCTCTTAGAGACACAAAATAGCTCCTATAATTATCAAGGTAAAATGATGTACTATTATGATGAAAAGGCTTCACAAAAAGGAAGATCCTTCATATGGCATTGATATTTGAATTCAAGACTATTTGAAAACAAAAAAGAGATACTAACACCAGTTGAGCTACATAATTAAAAAGAAACAAAAAGATTGAAAGATCTAGTAAACATTCAAGGCTCCATTCTTTTTTTTTTTTCCTATGGCAATTATCCTTGAGACAATGAAGCAATTTGGAACAAGATTTCCAGTACTATTTCAACCATCATTTCTTTTGTTTTTGTGATTGGTACAATATGTTTCAATATTGAAGCATTTCGATATTTCGTTTTGGAATCTTATATATTATATGATTACATGCATGTTAACGATTAATTTTTTGATAGTTTTCTATTGATTATAATTATGATGGATTAGAAGAGCTAAATAAAAAAAAATTCATAGAAAATGAATATAGCTAAATGTCACACACTTGTCCTTTTCCAAGCTTTCGTACAAAACATGGCTCACTTCTCTTTTAAGCCAAACCAAATCAGCTTTCTTCACATAAAGATGTCAAGTAAGAAAGTCACACACAAGAGATGTAAGAACACTTTGTATTATTTTCTTTAAAGCTTACAGCTTTAAGATTACATTTCCTTATATTTACGAATGTCTTGGCCAATGAAGACTTCACCTATTTATAGTCCTCCACCTCTTCAATAGATAGCTAAGATCTATTTAATCGATAACTATAATTGATTCTCTAGAATTATCATATCTAGATATTTACAAGGAATTATCTAGATATGTACAAATTAGAATAGTGAAGGACTCTCAGAATTCTCTAAGACATCCTAAAGGCTTCTTCATTGCTCCATAATCTTCTAAAGGATTTCATACTTATTTAGCATTTTCAATTGGCCTCTAGAAAAATTCCTCTTTTGTATGAGGGTAACATTCTCCCCACCTAATTTGATGACATCCTCAATGTGCCTTTATTATACTCTTCAACCTTCCATGTGAATTACGACAAGGCTTCGACGGGTTTTCAGCTAGCCTCGCTTTTTGGTAATCCCTTTCATTTCACATAATGCTCATTTTTTGATAGTATTCCATGACATCTAACTATGCGATCATCAAGTATGATATCAACTTCTTTGTCATATGAGTCAACCATTGTTGTAGATGTCCTATGAGAAACTCATTGACTTGGATCCTCCCCATCCTCGGAGTATGGCTTCGGCATATTAACATAAGACACCAAATGGATAATTAGCTTCGATGGCAACTCTAAGTGATATGACACATCTCTCACTTTGTGCACTACCTCGAATGGTCTTTTATATTGATGTATGAGATCTTTATACACCTTATGAAATGTCTTATGTTGTTGTGCTAATAACATTACTCGTCACTTTGTCACTTAGTTGGTAGGTGACATCTCTTCGTTTCTTGTCGGCTCACTTTTCATCTTCTTAGCAGACTTTGTTCAAATATATTCACGTCAAGTCCGCTTGCTTTTGCTATCTTTTAGCCATGAATATGTTGTAGGGTTGGTTTCTTGATACTTGTCACTAAGCACCATCATATGTGGAGAAAAAAGGTTGTTGGCTTGTAACGATCTGGAATGGATTCTTGCTAATAGACTCACTCATTAGTAAGTTATAGGAGAATTGGATAACATCTAGTAACTTAACACAATATCGTTGATTGGCACTCACAAAGTGCCTCCGATATGTCTCCAACAAAACATTGACCCTCTTGGTCCGCTCATCTATTTGAGGGTGAAAACTCATAGAGCAATACGGTTTTGAGCTCAACAAGTCAAATAGCTCGATCCACGACTTTCTAGTAAATTGAGGATCACAATCATTACTTATATGACAAGAATGTCCCAATACTTCACCACATGCTTGAAAAGTAGTTTAGCGAGTGTTATCGATTGTCACATCCGTTGGGACCTGGTATGAAAATAGCATGCTTGAAGAACTTCTCCACGACTATGATAATACTCTCAAAATTATTTGATTTCAACAAAGCCACTATATAGTCCATGGTAATTGTTTCTCATGGTCTCTCCGCGATAAACAAAGGCTGCAAAAGATTTCTAAGCACTCGATTTTCAATCTTGTCTTATCGATACAATAGGCATGTTCTCACATAAGACTCTACATCATCGCACAACTGCAACCAAAAATATGTTCCCTTCGATAAGGATCTAATGTGCTATCGTCCTAGATGTCCAACTCATATCGAGTCATGGCATGACTTCATCGGATCTCGTAATAGATTTTTTCATTTAGGCACATAAATTCTTCTCTTTTTCGTGTAGAGAATGCCATCCTTCTCCTAAAATTTTTTAGTCTTGCCCTCCACTTACAATGACTAACAAACTCTTAACGGTAGGATCATGCTTCATTCCTTTTTTAATTTTGACCACGATCTCCCCATCCACCTTCATCATGTGATACAATTTAACATTTCTACTAAGTACATCGGCCACCACATTGGTCTTACCTAACTTGTACTCAAAGGCATAGTCAAATGCAACAAGAAAGTTTAGCTATCAAGCACTGCTTCGACGTTAACTTCTTTTGAGTTTGAAAGTGACTCATGGTTACATTGTCCATCTTCACCACAAATTGAGACCTCGGCAAGTAGTGTCTCCAAGCACGTAAGCAATTAACCACTTGTGGTTATCTTTTTTCTTATACTAAATATTGATGTTTGGTATTATTTAGCTTCTCACTCTCGTAAGCTATAAGATGTTGTTCTCGTATCGACACACCACCTATAGCAAAATCAAAAGCATTGGTGTGTACCTTATATATCTTGGTTTGGTCGGCTAAGCTCAACACTAACTCCTCTATGATAACTTCCTTTAGCTATTCGAAAGCTTCGGCACCATTCACTCCACTCTCACGTCTTATTTTTCTTCAACAAGTCGGTGAGAGAGGTTACCTTCTTTGAGTAGTGATAAATGAAACAACGATAATAATTGACTAACCTAAAGAAAGAGCGAAGCTCGGGTACCTTGGTTAGCTCTTCTCAATCCAAGATAGCTTTGATTAAATAGCACTCATAAGAACCATTACTTGTCATGCACATTATCTTTGGCACATCTTCCGTGAAAATTGAAACTTAATAATACCTCGATTTCAAATCAAGCTAGGTGTAAAATCGAGCTTTTTGCCATTGATCGAACAAGTTAGCTATCAATGGAATTGAATACTTGTTTTCCATTGTGACCTTGTTTAATGCTTAATAGTCCATGCACATTTTTAATGATCCATTGTGCTTCTTTTAGAATAACACGGAGTTAGCCATAAGTCAACTTAGAGGTTGTATTTGTTTGACCTCTAACATAACCTTTAATTGTTTCCTCAATTCCTCTAATTCGGGAAGGCCATATAATAATGGGTTATGGTTGATAGCTTAGTTCCCAACACCAACTCTGTTTGGTGATCGATCTCTCTTTTGAATGACAACTTTAATGGCATCACGTCATCAAATTTGGCTAGCACATTGGTAATCTTTTTGGGTATCTCCGCACCTTCATCATCCATCGACCCATCTTCTCTCGATGTTGCCAAGTAGGTGACTTTCTTTTTCTTAAAGTCCTTCTTCACTTAAATAAATGAGAGATGCTTCAAGTTCAATCCAATATGCACCTTGGTTAGCACTATGCATTGCATATCTTCCTTCATAATCACTATTTGCTCTAAGGTGTAGGTACGACTTTTGATTGTTTAAAGAACTCCATGTCTAATACAACCTTGAAGTTATCCATCGTGACAATCATGAAATCTAGCATCCCCTTCCATGCACCTATACCAAGGCTTACTCCATGTGCTACGCCACAAGTAGGTTCAAGGAAAGCATTTATCTTCTTCATGTTGCTTGACGATTTGATCACCACTAAAGCGAGTCTTTTGGCCTTCCCTCTACCATGAAACTATGAATGGCACTAGTGTATAGCATGGTAGGTGTAGCCTTGCCATTTACATTCACATCATACATAAATTCATCTTTTGGTAGCACCTTAAACGAGGGCTTGACATTCGAGGCATTGAAAAGCTATAACGATCCTATATACTTTTCATGCTCGGAAGCATGTTTCTTCTCCATCAAAGTATTGAAGGCTTATTGATTTGGGCACTCTCTCCATTGATGCGGCTCGTTGCAAAAATAACAACTCTTTAGCTTGAATTCTCTCTTGTCATGCTCTTTGATAAAGCCTTTAGATTTGTATGTTTTGTCTTGCCCATCTTTATAACTTTTTTTATAGACTTCCTCACCTTTGTCCTTGAAGTCTTTATTAGGCTTGGAGGGTTCTACCTTTTTTTTTCTTTTTAATTAGAGATTCAACTATGGTTATAACTTCGATAAAGGTCTTAAACCGTCAACCTCACACTCTTATTATGCTCATGGTTGAAGTCCCTTAATAAAATCATATATGTGATCATAGTCGGATTCAAGCTACTTCCTAGTTCTTGTGACTACTCAAGCTATAAACATTGAAACATATTCTCAAACATCTTGAGTAAATAGTTCTTATATGCTTCAATGTTTATAGCTTATCCCATGCTTTTCCAATCTACTTCCTCAAAATAGAATTGAGCATACACGACTTCCTTGAACTCATCTCAACTAAGCAACTCTTGATTCCTCTTTTTAAGCTTTTAATGCTTTATACGCCACCATAAAGCAACATCTTTTGTATGGTAGAGAGTAACGATCTTGATGTGACTCCTATTTTTGCTCAAGCCCATTGTCTCAAAATATTGCTCCACTTGCTAAAAAAAATTATCGATTTCCTTGACATCTCACTTACTAGCACGGTGTCATGGTCTTGGCACTTTGACTTTTGACATGTCCCTTAACACCATACCATTAAAGATAGTTTCTTGACAATTTGCCCAATCTCTTCTAAGTTGTTCGAGAGTTTACTCATACCTAGTTATAAACTCTTGATGTTGCTTAAACATTTTATTCGTCCATTCCACGAAAGCATCCTTTTTGACGAGCACTCTCTTTGACACACCTTTCAACCGTCTTCACTCGAGCTTGGAGATCGGAGAGCACCTCACGTAGGCCTCGCTATATATAGTGTCTCCCCTCATCATCTCCCTTTATCTATTCAAGTCTCTCTTTAAAATCGACAAGGTGTTCCTCTACCCTTAAAAGCTGCTCCTCTAAGGCAACCAACATCACGAGACTTTCCTCTTCCCTTTTTAGGTTGAGGAGATATAGTCTCATTCTTAATATTTCTAACAATATCCTCGACACCAAAAGTAAACATGCTTACTCTTTTGAACACTTAACTAGCTGCAAGGTTAATTACACTAGATAGAACTCGGTTCGATATCACTTGTCACGAACTTGGTCTTTCTTAAACTTTCGTGCGACAACTTGACTCACTTCTTCTCTAAGCCAAATTAAGTCGATCTTCTCCATACAAAGTTGTAAAGCAAGAAACACACACGAGAAGATATATAAGAATTCTTTATATTACTCTCACTAAAGCTTACAACTCTAAGCTTACACTTCCTTATATTTTTGGATATTTTGACCAAATGAAAGTCTCACTTGTTTATAGTCCTTAATCTATTTAATGGATGGCTAGGATCTATTAGATCTAATTGCTCTAATTAATTCTCTAAAATTATTCTAACTTATATATATATATATATATATAAGTTAGAATAAGAAGAGATTCTCTAGAATTCTATAACATGTCTAGATTTTTCTTACACATCCTAAAAACTTTTCCAATACTCCATAATTTTCTAAAGGCTTTCAAACTTATTTTACGTTTTCAATTGGTCTCTAAAAAAATTCCTCTTTCGTGCATGACAGTAACATAAAGCATCATAAACTCACTTTCTATCCATCACCATATGGTCGCTTTTGCTTTCGAATTGCTGTAGCCATCAGAATTCACACGTGCGCACGGTATAACTAAACTCATTCCCTAAAGAAATAGGGTATCCATAAGCAAGATACAGAATTAGATTTGGAACGAAGTAACAATAACATATTCTTTCTGCTTTACTAGCAAACACTTGAAAGAGGTGTAACTCTTTTTATTTTATGAAAATAGCTTCGATTGCCAGCCATTATTAATCTTCACTTCTCGTTTTAGTTTTATTGTTTTTCCGTCACTTGATAAAAAAAATTGAAAATAGATGAAGAGAATGAAAAGCAGAATCGATAAAACTAGTGATCAGTGTTTTTAGTGTCACAAAATTTCAGTTATATCCTTGCGCATTTGGCCACACAAAAAATACGAGATGAGCCAAAACTTTCAACGACACGCAATTAGTTTATTTTTATTCCTTTTTCAAGAGAATACAAGTTAGACCAACCGTTACGATCGGAACAAAACGGAATTAAGAACTTTGATTTGGATTGCCCCGATGGGCACCAGGCGGCCACCAACAAAAACTTAATGAACTTCATAAAAATCCCAAATCACGCCTCATTTCTTCGGATGTATTTGTTTCCGATATTAACAAAGCGTTCCAAAAACTAATTCAAATGAAACACAAAAACGTTTTGCCTAATAATTAATTAAAGCATTCAAAACTTTTCTACGAAAAAAACTACTAAAATATTAATTTTTCAAGTAAACTCAAATCACAAACTCATCACAGCACCTAAATAATTTCTGCTAGAAATAAAGTCATTAATTAATGAACCATAAAATTTATGACTCCCTACTTAATCTTCACTTATCAAAATAAATAAATAAAAAGAAGGGATGGGGGAAGAAAAGTCCCCACTTCACTAAGAATGATGAATGGACAGAAATCATGCTCATCTCTAACGCAGCAAGGTTCCACATCTAAGCATCGCATAAATAATTGTAGCAATTTCTCTACAGTCAGAGTAATTTTAGATATAATATATGGAAATCCTTCTCCTAATCCAAAACACTACAGATTTGCATATTAATTACGAATGGAACTGTTAAGGATAATTAAACAAACTAACTAAAAAGAAGGTAATTAAACAAAATGATCAGAAGAACAAACAAAGCAAAGAACAGAAATTAAACCTCCTTAGTTTCATGTTCCATTACAGCTAAATCTCACCAGATCTTCCGCCCCGTCGCTCTCCACCACTGGCGTTGCGTTCAAATCCAAAACCCCATTCGCCTCCTCCTCCACCACAGCAGCCACCTCTTCAGGCCCTGAACCCTGGATCATCTTCTCCTCCTCGTTATTTCCACCACCATCAACCACTTCCACCACTTCAGCCTCAACTGCAGCCCGCCACCCTTCTCCATTATTCCCCTTCCGAAAGTACTTTGCTGCTGCCTGCATCCTCCTTAGTATTGCAAAGAACTCCTCCACCTCGTCCTCAGTCGCCACCGTCACCACCTCCTCCTCACCCTCCCCCTCTCACCTTCTTTTTCCTTCCTTGCTCGCTTTCTTTCTCCCCCTCTTTCTTTTCTCTTTTCCCTTGTCCATCTCTCTTGCAAGAACCTTGAACTTTTATGCCAACTTTGTAACATGGAAAGCTCAAACACAAGATACAAAACAAGGCATGAGAGAGTTTAAATTGGTAACGAATATATCATATCAGCCACTAATGCGTCGAATCTCATTACAACTCAGTTGTTAGAAACTTGATCAAAATTGCTTCTTCGTCATAATTGAAAATTATTTTATGTAACAAGACCATATAACAAAACTTGGGTCATAGTTTAATATTTCTTTTCCTTTTCCTTTTTCTTTTTCTCTTTTCGTTTTTTTGCAACTTCACTGCCTTAAGGACCGGTATGAATGTGATATAATAAGAATTTCCTTTGATATATATTAGTGGTTGAGGTAGATAGATGTCGAGAAATTATTGCTTGAAACTGTTTACTTGACAAAACCAATCAATTTATAAGAATTTATTCAAATTAAAGGGAAAAAGAAGAAGCAAAAGACTCGTTTATTCAAAGCTCAAAATTGAATACATCTATTTTGAAAAAGTTATATATTTATATCTAATTAATAATAATGAAATTTTTATTTATTTAATTTAAGATGTCGAATTCAAAGTCATAAATATATATAAAGATTATCTAGTGATGGATTTTTTTATTTAAATACTTCAATAAAAATTTAAATCTGTAATTTTTTGTAAAAATTTCATTATTATTATATTAGAAACTTATTATTAAGTCTTTTTATTATTTCTGTCATTAAAAAAAATATTTACATTGAATTAACTTCATTTATACTAACATATTCAGTTATTTTATGCCTTTTTTTTATTATTAAACATGTTCATACGCCTAAAAATAGTATTAATGGAATCCAATCAGACAATTGGATTGACATAAATCCCATCCATTTAATAATTTTCAACCTTTGAAGACTTTGATGAGGCAGCTAAAATGGTCGTTTTCCCACCGTTGATGCAGATATGGTCGGGTGGTGATGTCACGATGAGCTGGCGAGATAGTGTCATATTTATGGCGATCGATGAAATTACGTGATGCTTTATGCTGACGAGAATGCGTGTAATATCATTACAACGCGCGCATCGAACTGTGCTACGCGTGTATGTAAGGACATGGTGGGTCCAAGGGAATAGGTTTGCCTTGGATGCTCCCATGCCAGCACCGTGTAACCAAATCAAAGACTGAAGTTATATAAGAACTTAGAAGCCGCCCGTAGTTCATTGGTAATGCCTCAGTAAATTATCGGAGTTGTTACGAAATTTTATTATTTTCTTTTAAGTAAATTATCATGCTCCATTTCTTATGAAAAAAAGAAGAAGGAAACTTCTCGTGGTTTACATAAACAAATAGTATTGCTTTTATATGAGTTGACTTACCTGCTTATGCAGGTATAAGTTTGTGCTTGAAGTTAATATTAGAATCATATGAAGTTGACTTGTATGGTTATGATATTGATCAACTTTTGACACACCCCCTCGGAAAAAAAAAAAAAAGGGGCTAAACTAATGCGTTTCTAATCCAGAAACAGTAAGTTTAACATATTGATAAGAAATTATCGGTTTAAATCCATTTTTTAGAGTATTCGAATTAAAAAAAAAATCATTAAAAGAGAATGTCAATGGTGGTCAATTAAATTTATAGTGATAATACAACCTATTTTCCTATTTTATTAACTACTGATAAATAATAATAATAATAGAATAGAAAAATATCATCAAAAGTCCCTCTAAATTATCAGTTTGATCAAATTTAACTCAATACAATATATTCGATCAAATCAACTCATTTGTGATTCTAGCACGCATTAACTCCTCTGTCCATCCCTTCTTCTTTTTTTCGTTGACTACAAACCTTCAATTGACCGATTTGACTCTCATGATTGTCGCAAGTGTTCCCGATTTGATACTTCCGATCATAACAAATGCCCCTTGTTATAATAAATTTGAGTTTATATATATATATAATGTAATAAAAAGATTTAAATTAAAAGAAATTGAAATTAGAAAGAAAAATAAAGCAATTCGATCCCCTCTAAAACTGACATGTGGATTGCTAATTGTCCCTTGTACCTTGTGTGTTTTTATGATAGCAAACAATGTTATGTACTAATGTGTTTACTTGAAATGTTTTCTTCCAGGGATTGTATTACGGACTTTACAAAAGCTAAAGGACTTAGTCTCCATGTCAAAGAAAATAGAAGTCCGATCTAGTAGAAAGATTGAACGTGTGGTTTAGTTGAAAGACTAATCCTTCCAAAATTGGAATTTACGATTGCATTCATTCATGGAAATTAGAAAGTAAGTTGTTGCTGATTTCGGACAAGAAAACCAGAATATCTCATGCACTACGAAGTTGCATGCAAAGATTTTAGAATTATTGCAACTACCATTACAAGTTTAGAAAAGAAAGATTTTCTTAATTATTTCCATCCATAACAAGCAATTTTAATTTCCAAATATCTTTCAGATGCTAGAAAAGAAAACAATATGATATGAAACATAGTTGTTGTGATAAAGGAATGAGCTGTCAGACTCATCATATATATAATGAAGTTAAACAAGTCTGTAGAAGCTATATCATCTTCCGATTACGACAAGACAAGTCAATTAATGGAAGATTTAAAGATCTGAAGTACGTATGTATTTGATTCAGAATATGGCTATTCATGATGCTTTCCATCAAAGATCAAGCTATCCTTTCATGAGCTTAATTATAACCACTGAAGCATTAAATCAAGCGCGGAATGTTATTCAAGAAAAGATCATCTCAATATCTATCAAGAAACGAATTATTTCCAACTGCTTTATTCAAGAACCTACAGCGACTATTTCTTTATCATACAAAAATTTATTCACAGAGACTATATTCTTGAAACTTAAATATATATTGCCAAGTGTGATCTCTCGACTATCGTAAAAATAAAAAATATATGTGTGTGGAATCGTAACTCATTTTTTAAAAAGTAAAAATTAAGAAAAATTTAATACTGATTTTAAGAATTCTAAGTAAGGAGTTGATTACATAGCTGAGGAATACTAAAGTCACCTTAGTATGCACTCGTAATAAGGTTACCTTGTATTTCTAATTTAGCAAAATTCATTCATGCAAATTATCTTTTCTATCTTGATTTGCATGTTTGATATTTGGGTTTTTTTAATTAGTCTAAATGAGATGATTTAAAGACTTAAAGAAAATTCAATCTTTCACCTAAAATGTCACTGGATCGTTGAAGCCCATTTAGAAAGGTAACAATTAGGATTAAAAGCCCATAACACATTAAATCCTAATGCCATAAAAAATGTAAATAAATAAAATGAATATGGACTATAGCCCCAAGTTCACTCGTTTAACCATGAAAATAATAATAATAATAATTACAAGTTCGTATTGATATGAAAAAAAATAGACATAGCACATATCATTCTATATGCCACCTTAAAATATTAAATTGGGTCTAAAGCTGAATAATATTGGTCAGAGCTAAAATTCGAGCTAAATGCAAGAAGAAAAAATTGTTAGCATAAAAAAAAAAATTAACTCAAACCACATAAATAATAAAATATTAGTAAGAAATAAAAAAGTTTGTCATTGAAACAAAGTTGGTCTCAAGTCCTAAACATATTCCATCTACCCGACCTAGATTGACATCACATAAAATAAACACACAAAATGCAAGATACAAAAACATATAAAAAATCACGAGATCACAAAAAAATGACTTCATAAAAAATAAAATAGCCAATAGGTCTCCACAAGGTCTTTAACCTATAAATTCAGATTTGGATTATTTTAATTTTCTAAAAAAGAAAATTGCTAGCCTATTGCTAGTTTCATCATCGATCTATAGTTCATCGGGAACTTTTATAGAAAATTAAAATAATATACAATCAAGTCATTGCCACTTAACTCCTTTTTTAAAATAATAATAATAATATATAAAAATAAAACAAACTCTAAAAATATTAAATATTCTCTATCCAATAAAAATCACCATTTTATCACACATACACAACAATAAATTTAAATTGTAATTCTTTTAAATCTATCAAATAACATGAAGAATTCTCAATTTAAATCTTTTCAATTAAGCCTAAATTATACAATTTTAACTCAATTAATCATCATAATTCTATGTTAATCACATAATTCATATTGAAGAATATAAATCAATAATATAATTATACGATACATAAAAATTTGGATGAAAATTAAACAAAAAATGTTCAAGCATAGGGGTATAATTATGAAATCAAAAGTTCGAGGACCGAATTGAACATAAGCAAAAACGAAGAGAAAGAGACGGACCTAGCGTGTGTGGCGTATTCTCGAGGCGTCATATTGGCTACTCGTGTGCATGAGAGAGCGTCGGACATCGGATGAGTTGTGGACTCAGTGGAGCTAGCTTTGTCTCTTCCTTTCAATCACAATGGTATGACGCTGTCCGATTTCATCAATTCGAGGAGAGTGACGACGCCGTGAAATTTAGTCGTTGTCTTTGGCTTTTGATGTTTATGTTAATCTTTTTGGTTTTTTTTTTTTTTCTCTCCTAGGTAGTTGTCTCCTATTTTGTATGTATGTGTGCATGTCTTGTATTTATAGGGATGCTTCTACGGTTAATCTAGGATTTTTTATTCTAATTTTTTATTATAATTAATCGAGCCTAACCTAATACTTAATCTAGACACATTCCCGATCTAGGCCTAGTTCTCTCTCTCTCTCTCTCGTTTTTTATTTTTATTTATTTATTTTTTTTATGAAGGTTAAAATAGGGTGATGATAAGCTGCTTCTTCTTTACAATGCTTACACATCAAAGATGTAAAAAGATAAGTTTTTGTACATATTGACTTAATGAGCTTGTAAAGAAGATA